GGGGGTGCAGGGGGACAAGGGGGCTACAATGCCGGGGGCAAAGAGGGCGTCTTGTGGAGAGGGGATGGGCGGCAGTGAGGGCTGCCTAGGGGGGCTGGGGGGGGGGACTACCTATGGGGGGTGTTTGATGGGGGTCGGGAGGTTTTCCGACAGTGGCTGCCATCTTATTATAATGAATTATAATTGTCTTACAGAGGAGGTGTCCGGGAGAGGGGGTCTGGGCACCGCCTGCGGGGATGAGGGCACCCTGACTGGAAACGATCTCATCCCGCTTCCCCAAACTCCCCTGACATCATCCCCAGACTCCCCTGACATCACCCCCGAACTCTCCTGACATCACCGTCCGCCTCGGCCACGGCGGGCGGGTTACTTGTGGGCGCAGCCCCACTACCGGGGGTGCTCTGCCCTGCCGATCCTGGCCCAGCCCGCTCCCCACCGCTCCCCCCGCCCGGTCCCGTCCTGGTCCCCGCCGCCCCCCACGGTCCCGACGGCGGAGGCGCGTTTGCTTCCCCCACTCCACGCACCCCTCCGACCGCCAGGGGGCGGTAGTGCTCCGCGCCGCGCTGCCGCCGGCGCGCCGCTCTAGTTCCGCTCCCTTCTCGGGCGCTGATTGGTGCGTGGCGCTGGGGTGTCACCACTTCCGGTGGCGGCGCCGTTCCCGCCTGGGCACCGACCGGCGACGGCTCCCGGACACCGGGACCCCCCGAGATCACCCCCGGGAATCCCCGAGGTCCCCCCGGGACACCGGCGGGACCCCCCCCGGGACCCTCCGGCCCGGTCCAGGCCCGTTCCCGCCCCGCGCCCGGCGTCCCCCGGCGCCATGGAGTTCCCGGCCGTTCTCTTCCCCTCCTACTTCAGCGTCGGCCCGCCCCGGGAGGAGGGCGGCCCTGGTCCGGCCGCTGGCTGGGGCGAGTACGGGCAGGTGCTGGAGGCCGGTCCCCGCCGCCGCCAGGTGAGGTCGCGGCGCAGCCCGCCCTGCCCGGGCGCGGGGCTTCGGGCCGGACCGTGGGAGCCCGGCGGGGGGTGCAGGCAGGGGCCGTTCTCACCTCCCGCCTCCTCTCCCTGCAGGCCGAGACGACCTTCGTGCCCCGCCGCGGCGGGACGGGCGAGAGCTGGGAACCCGCCGACGCCGCTGCCGTGCCCTTCCTGCCTCCCAACGCGAGTGAGGGCCGCCGGGGGTGGGAGAAGAGGGGGTAGCCTGCCCGGGGAGTGGCGGTGGGGACGCTCTGTTCAGCCTCTGCACCCGCCTGCCGAGCTGCCCTGCGGCTCGGGATCCCCAGTGGCTCTGCCACACTGGCACAGGGAGCTTTAGCAGCTCTCTCTGGGGGTGCTCGCACAGGAGGGAGTGGGGACGGGCAAGCCGTTGCCCCGTGGTGCTACAGTGGTGTCCTGGTACTTGCATGGTACCAACCGGCCCCTGCCCTCTCCTTGCAGGCTGCTGGATCCCCTCGCTCGTGCCTCAGGACATTCTCTACCGTGGTGTCCTGCGCAGGAAGCTCCAGGCAGGCAAGACTGGAGCCGCTCTGGACTTCACCAAGCAGGTGGGGCCTGGGGTGCCGTGTCCCACCAAGGACCTGGGGGGACAGCCCAGGTTCCATGCACATCCCAACCTCTCCCTGTCCTTCCCGTGCAGCTGAGCCACTTCTTTGTGGACCACCCAGAAGATGCGTTTGGCTCCCTGGGGCGGCTGCTGCACAAGAACTTCTACCTGGGCAACTCCAAACTGAGGGTCAGTGTCCATCCAGGGGTGACAATGCTGCCCCCCACCCTTCCCCTTGCAGCTGCCAGCCCCAGCCTCTGCCTCTTCTCCCCACAGAGACAGGCCCGGGACAACACCATCCGGATGACGGCCCTGATGGAGGAAATTGGCCGTCTGGAGGCCAGGTGGTAAGTGTCCCCATGTCCTCTGCCCTGGAAAGTGCTGAGAGGGCTCCTGCTCTCTCCCCCCACCTGATGTTGTCTGTACTCCTGCAGTGGCTGCCCCCGACAGCGCCTTGCCCCCCGCCTGCGGTGGTTCTCCCACCTCTGCCGCGACTGGCTCTTCGAGGTGCCACTGGGGCTGCTGGCAGACTGTGTGCATGAGGAGCTGCTGCTGCAGTGGGCCAGCCTGCTCTTTGACGACAGCTCTACTGGCGGAGCGCTGGCCTGGCTGCCCCCCAAAGACGTGGGGGCACGCACGGGCCGCCTGGTGTACCCCGGAGGCCAGGCCATGAACCACCTCTGTATCCTTCCCCATGGGGTGTCCTTGGGGAGGGGAGAGGGGGTCGCATTGCACTGCCCTTAGCCGGCACCCCAGATTTCCAGGACGTGGTGCTAGAGGAGCTGCCCCGTGCCCGGGGCTCCCCAGCACAGTTTGAGCTCAATGGGCACATCCGGCAAGTGGCTGCCGCCCGGGCGGACGGGGAAGGTGAGCCAGCCCTGGGATCCGTAGGCTGGGATACGTACCTCGGGCCGGGCAGGGTGTGGGGTGGGGTGGAGGGACAGCAGGGAGCCCCTGGAACGCTGCCATCTCACGTGCTGCTTCCTGTTCCCTGCCAGATTTTGTTGGCGTCCGCTCGGACTATCACTGCGGCGTTTGGAGGGTGCCGGGCAGGACAGGGGCGGCCCCCACCCCGCTGCAGGTCATCCGCACCAGTGTGCCTGCCTCCTGCCTCACCGTCAGGTAGGTGCTGGGGGAACAGAGCTTTGCAAGGAGGGGGCTCTGCTGCCTCTGCAGCCCTCCCCACTGTGGCGGATGCTCTTGCCCCCGTGGTGATGCTATGCCCTCCATCTCGCAGCCCTCACCTCCCCGGGGAGCTGTCCGTCTGCACCCAGAGCGGAGCCGTCTACCTCTGGAGCGTCGAGAGGGGGTGAGATGGGGTACTTGGGGCCGGGAGGAGGCTCACACAGACCCTGGGTCTCAGGGGTGTCGGGGGGACCCAAGCAAGAGGGGCAGCTCTTCCCTGTGCCAGCACTGCCTTCTCCCCGCAGGCTGCAGCGGCTCCGCCATGACCCCCAGACCATGTTTTTTCGGGACCATTCGCCCTGGCGCTGGAGCGACTTCACTGCCCACCCGCGGGTGCTGAGCTGTGCCGACCGCACTGGCCTGCAGTGCCTGGATGCCCGGGTGAGCCCGGGAGGGTGGGCAGGGGGCTGGCGGTGGGTGAGGAAGAGGGTTCCCAAGCCCAGGTTGCTGACAGGACCCCACTCTGCTGCTGCAGGCCCCCGAGAGATGCCACTTTGACTTGTTCAAGGTGGGCGAGGAAGCAGGCTGCCAACAGGGTGAGCGTGTGGTGCTGCCCATGTACCTGGGGAGGGCTCACCCTTCCCAGCACCTCGTCACCACCCAGGTGAGTCCTGCTGCACCTTGGAAGGACAGCGGGGATGGTGGAGGACAGCCCAGCACAGCTCCCGCTCCCAGCACCCATGGGGCAGGGGGATCGCCCAGCTGAGGGGGGCTGACACGGCATGTTTGGGTGAGCCCCCCCGAGCCGTGCTGTCCTTTCCCTGTCCCAGTTCTCCGTGTACGTACTGGATGAGCGGTTGCCACTGGTGCCTGTGCTGAAGTGGGCACACATGATGAAGGCCCCCCCTCTCTTTGCCCATCTGACACCAGGGGGCCCCGAGAGGAGCCATAAGGTGCTGCTCGGCGCATCCCACACCCAGGAGCTGTTGCTGCTGCAATACCAGGGTGAGAGATGGGGCTTTGGGGTGCTGTGGGACCAGATCTCCTCTGTGCCCACTTCCCAGCCTCCTTGCCACCGGGACTAGCTGCTGCCCCGGCATCGGTGCTCACTGACCAATTTTTGGCCTGTCCTTCCGCAGGGGGAAACCAGTCGGCCTGCCAGCTGGTGGGGCCTCCACAGAAGCTGCACAGCATTGCCGGCTGCCTGCAGCACCTGCCCGTCCAGCTCCCGCACCGCCACCACATGCTCCAGCAGCGCCTCGGTGCCCCAGCTGCCGGTGGGTGCCCCACATCGTCCTGGGGTGCAGGTCCTGGGGGGGAGAATGTGGGTTGGAGGGGTGTTGGGGTTATAGCCCTTGCCGTGCCCTGGGGCGGGGGGGGGAGTGGTTGAAAAAGCAAAAGCAAAGCCCTGAACAACCCTGTCAAAGAGATTAATGACCTAGAAAAAGACATGGGGGGCAGGAGCAAGCAGTGAGTGTGCCCATGGTGGTGGGCGGAGGCAGCCCCCACTGCTGGCCAAGCCCCAGGAGGGTCCACAGGGCCAGGACACCAGTGGCAATGCCTCCCCTATCCCCACAGGGCTGGCTGCTGCACTGCAGGAGGATGGTCTGCGGGAGTCCCTGCTGGTTTTCCAGCTCTCCGAGGCTGGGGACGTCTTCTGCCAGAGGCTGACCCACGAGGCAGCACAGCCCCCTGCACCCACCTCAGGGGACGAGGCCATGCCAGCCCCTGGCTCTTCCCCGCTCTTTGAGACTCCTGCCAGCAGCCCGCCGGCCTTGCGCAGCGAGGAAGAAGAAGAAGAGGAGGAGGAGGAAGAGCAAACTTTCTACTTGTCCAACCTGGAGGTGATTATCAATGAGGAGGAGGAGGACGTGGGCACGCCAGCAGCCCCGGAGGAAGCCAAACTCCCCCAGCAGCCCTGTGCCAGCCCTCAGCCCTCCCCGGCGGTGCCCAGCCCAGCCGCAGCCCTGCGCTACCGCCGCTGGCTGAAGGCTCTTTCTGAGGGCTGCGGGGAGCCCCCCCGGCACGCCTACCCCGCCACCCTCAGCCAGAAGCGCCTTTTCACCCGCAAAGAGCTGGCGACGCCGGCGGGCCCCAGCACCCTGCACGAGCAGCTGCGCCGGCAGCTGCGGCAGACCATGCGGGAAGGGGGCTGCATCCAGCGCTGGGACCCCCTGGCCTCCCAACCCTGCACCCCACCGCAGCCCCTGGAACTGGCGGGGGATGCGGACCCCCTGAGCGCCCGTCTGACGGCGGCCTGGTCCGGGGACTGGGGGCAGTGGTGGGAGGAGAGGACGAGCTTCAACATGGCGCAGAGGCAGCGGGCGCTGCGGGAGCGGCGGCGGCGGCAGAAGCGAGCCCGGGGCCGGCGCAGCCTTTCGGCCAGCTTCACCTCGTCCCTCACCTACCAGTCTGAGCTGTCGGAGCTGAGCGACACAGCCCCCACGTCACTCTCCCCCGGCCCACCCGCCGTGGTCCCACGGGAGGGTTCCCCACCGGCTGGCGTCCCACCAGCGTCACCGCTGCCCGACGAAGCCCTGCTCTCCTCCCAGAGCCTGCGCTGCCGTGGCATCCCCAAGGAGCGGCGGAAAACGCTGCGGGACTACCTGGCGGTGTGGGCCGACGACCCCTCCGAGCCCCCGGAGCTCCCTGGCAGCCAGGCCAGCCAGCTCTGCATCCCCTCCTCCCAGAGCCAGCTCTCCTCCGCCTCCCAGCCCCGCCGCAAGCGCCCACGCATGGGCTTCTGAGCACCCAATAAACACCGTCTGGCCCAGCCTCCCTCCCGGGGGTCGTCTGTTTTGGGTGGGGGCACCGCCACTCGTGTTCGTGGCACCCACCTGTGGGGTGCAGGGGGTGGGGGTTGTGCCGCCACCCGTGTTCAGGGCACCCACGGGGGGCGGGGTGGGGAGCCCTACGCGCTGCTCTCCGGCGGGGGCTCGGCGTGGACAGGGCCCGGCCGTGACACGCGTGGGCACAGGCGCCTGCGGGCGCTTTAAGACGCCGAGGGCGGGGGGGTGGGTGGGAGTGACGGGAGCGGGAGCCAATGAGG